GGATGAATGTGGTATCAACGTCTTCGAGATTATTTAATTACAAATAATTTTATAAGTGATCCACTAACCCCTTCTTTGTTTATCAAACGAGATAAAACTGGTTTTGTGATCATCGCTGTATATGTTGATGATCTTAACCTACTGGGTACTACATCTACATATGTTATAGCTACAAACCTACTTATACGTGAATTTGAGATGAAAATGCTAGGAAAAACAACTTTCTGCATTGGTCTTCAGATTATGCATCTAACAGATGGTAGCATTTTTCTCTACCAACTAACATATATTAGACGAATCTTGCAAAGATTTAATATGATTCATGCTAATCTATTGTCTACACCAATGGTTGGATGTGGTCGTGATGGTCATGATCCATACGGTCCATGCCATGAGGAGGAGGAAATATTGAGAGACTAATATCCATACCTTGTAGCGGTTGGAGCACTTTTGTATTTAGCTACATCTACAAGACCAGATATTGCATTTGCAGTTAGTGTTCTTGCAAGACATAGTGCACATTGTAGTAATATGTGAAGTCTTGCTTGAGAATGCTCCGGACACTTGGCTGTAGAAGGAAGAATAGAAATTGCGATAACAAAATCTTAATTCTAATAGAATACTAACAATGCTCTAATTAGACTATAATAATGGTAAACAAACGTAATCAAATTCAAAACAACTCAAAGAAATTTCAAACAAATAATAAAATTCTTAAAGAAATATTAGAATGATCACAAATATTACTCAAATATATGTCAATTCAACCTTAATTTAATTCTAGTTAAAACCCTATTGAATTTCACTCAAACTTTAGACCAAACCTAATTAAATCTTAAACCCTAATAAATCCTAAACCCTAATAAATCCTAAACCCTAAGTTAAATCCTAAACAAACCTTAAATTAAATCCTAAATCAAACCCTAAATCAATCCTAAACCCTAAACTAAACCCTAAACCCTAAACCAAATCTTAGATCAAACCCTAACCAAATCCTAATCCAAACCCTAATCAAACCCTAAATCCTAATCCAAACCCTAAACCCTAATCCAAACCCTAATCCAACCCTAAACCCTAACCAAATCCTAAATCCTAATCCAAACCCTAATCCAAACCCTAAATCAAACCCTAACCAAACTCTAAACCCTATTCCAAATCCTAATCCAAACCCTAAATCAAACCCTAACCAAACCCTTATCCAAATCCTAAACTCTAAATCAAACCCTAAATCGAACCCTAGCCAAATCCTAATCCAAATCCTAGTAATTCCTATGACAGATTTAAACCTCAATATCTAATGAATAAACCATTGATCTCAATTCAAATCTTGCATACTTCTTAAAAATCAAGTTTAAAACAAGTATAAAAAAAATTGAAAAGGATCGGAGTTACCAAATTGACGAAAACCTCAAAAATGTGTTCAGGTGTTAGCTGGCCTCCTTCTCCAATCTTGATGCCAACTTTCTAGAGTCAATTTCTCTTCTTTGCGCCGTTCGATTGGTTTCAAATTTCTCATGGACATAGAAAAACAAGTCTTATACCTTCTCACACAAGTTTTACTCCAATCCAACTAGTAATTTGCATGAAATCTAAAAAACCCTCACTAGACCTAAAATTCTACTTTCTGAGACCTTGACCCGCTTAAATCTCAATATCTCTTACTTCAACCGTTAGATCGAGCTGAAATTCACAATATGTATTTAACACAACTATAATCATGAACCCAAAAAATTTCACCCATAGATTTATAACAAAACTCTCGAAATCACTCAAAACATAAACCCTACTTTATTTCATAAAACCCAAGTCATCTGAAACAAACCTCCCCTTTGCAAAACTCTTACAAAATCATATCAACTCCAAATCACCCAAAATCAATGCCCATAGAAACCTTATCTAATCTTCTATCAAACCCCACTCTTCGATCTGCCAAAGAGTCCCGGAGTCATCGTCGAGATTCAATTTTGTGCCTCATGGTTTGATTTCGACCCTAGTTCATAACCGGCCCTCTCTGGGTATCAACTTTTGTCTTCTTGAGGTAATTTTTACTAATTTGCACTCCTAACTCCTCTCTACATATGTCTATATCCTTTATTTTTCTAATCTACCTTGTTTTGCCTTATTTATGGCCTTACAAAGTAAATAGAAGCATAATTTGTAAAAAGGTAGTATTAGCACCTTTAATTTTTCTACCCTTTTATTAATATCTATTTTTCCAAGATAATTTGCTACAATATTTTTGAAGTGAGATCCTCAAAACATGATATATTTCTTCACCCTTTCACCTACTAGTCATATTACATCACGACAACGTCCAACACTACAACATTGGAATGGCATCAAACATTTATTATGTTATTTAAAAGGTACTGAAGACTTGGGATTATACTACGCAAAATCTGCAGATCCAAAATTAGTTGGATATTGTGATGCAAGATATAAATCTCATATTGCAAAAACTAAATCTCAAACAAGATATGTATTTTTAAGACATGGAGCTACAATATCATGGAAATCAGTGAAACAAACAATAACTGCAACTTCATCCAACCATGCAAAAATTATTGCCTTACATGAAGCATCTCGAGAATGTATTTAGTTGCGATCAATTGATGAATTCATTCAAACAATTTGTGGATTTTCATATGATGATTCTCCAACTATCTTGTATGAAGATAATAGTGCGTGTATTACACAGATGCAAGTTGGTTTCATTAAAGGCGACATGACAAAGCATATTGATCCAAAGTATTTTAGTTATACTCATGACTTGATTACTAATCAAGCACTTATAATTAAGAAAATTGAATCTACAAATAACCTTACTAATCTCTTCACCAAAGCTCTCCAATTAAGCAACCATCGTTGATTTACTTATGGCATTGGTATGCGACAACTTGCTTTTCTTGAATAAGAAAGTTAATGAGTTCTTTAAATAATTAAAGAAAATGATGTTTTACTCTTTTTCCTTCATCTATGGTTTTGTCCTTAAATAAAATAAGATTTTCCTAGATAAGGTTTTAATGAGGCAACAATTGTTGATCTTGCAAGATCACAGAAAAGTATAGATCATAATTCTATACAAATTTTATATTATGTAAATATTATGATGAGCGAGGAGGAGTGTTGAGATCATTAAATGTAGCCAGCACTCTCGATAATATTTATTGTAGCTACAGTATTTAGAGTCTAGTGGAGAAGTACTGTTTATCCTCTCCTCTTTTCTCTTCTTGTATATGAGACACAACCAGATTAATAGAAGTGTGTGTGTGAAGCTCTCTCTCCTTAGAAACCCTCTTGTGTGTATGACTTACTATTACTTTTGTGTCTTTCTAAACATTCTCAACAAAAAGAAAATGACACAACAATTATTTTTATGTATATTGCTTCCAGATTGCACAACTCACTACACTTTTTTCACCTCCTTTTCTTTTGATTTTGATTTGGTTCAAAACTTCTATATCCCCCCAATGTTTTTAATATAACTGTTGATTACTAAGGGTGAAGGTTTCCAACGAGTCGTAAAAACAGATCTTTTCTATAATTGGGTGATATGGCACATTTTATAATGTAAAGTCATCACTCATCAGTAATGAATATTGACAAATTATGGTACTTTAATATATAATTATTGAAGGTGGTATAATATCCAAGTTTTACATACAAGTTGTGAAGGATAATTTGTATACTGTATTGATTAGGTGTTTACTATTTCTGACGCTGTTACTTTTAATGTGTCTTTTAAAATAAATATGAATTACAAGAATTATAAGAACATCATTGTTGATGTCTACATACAAACATAAACAAGAATAGGAATAATGAGGCCATGTGGAAAGAAGATAAAGAATTAATTGAATATTAAAATTTCAGTATTAAAAAATTGAAGCTGATATAATGCGATTTTTTGAAGTTTTTCATTTGATTATTAGTTTGAGGTGGCGCATGCCTAGAAACAGCTAGAAGATAACTAATGTTGAACACCATCTATGACATAAAAAACATATGAATCATATAAAAGCTTTGATGAGATATTCATCATAATTAGGAGATGCTGACATTTTAAAGTGGGAAAGTGCTCAAAATCCCGACAACGTAATACACCATAAGAATAGAAAAGAATTGTGACTAGAATCACATCAATGATCATTGAAGTGAACACCAATGTATGAAAAGTATCACAAATACTGTTGGATATGTTTCAGGATGCACAAGTTTGACATCCAAACAAGTAAATAAATAAACATATCAGGATTTCAACATTCTGAAATGCACCATCAGCATATCGAAAACTCCCACAAGTTCAGTTCGCACAGCCATTCAAAGTTTAGAACAAAAACAAAATGAATAACCAAACAAACAAAACGAAATAAATCGAGCCATCCACTGCAATTCGGTCCATCGAGGACCCTGAAGGTGAACTCCTTCTCGTTTGATGAGCAAATTCCGTCACCAAGTCGTGGTGATGGGGTTTCAAGGGAGGCAACGAGGTCTCTCCTCCATCGCTGCACAAATCAACACATCCGCATTTCAAAACTGAGCAGAGCCATGCATCGCCACCCCTTCAAGAAGCACTGTTCCAAACCCTGCTAAGCTGAGTGTTGTAAAGGAGCGAAGATGGGAACTTGGGGGGTGGGGGTGGAAGTTGGGAATCCAGGGTGAGACTGGAGTGATGCCTTGGATTACAGATAACAATGCTCTAATTTATCTTTTTCCAGAAACAAGTTCTCACAAAAGTACGACGTCGGAGTGTCGCAATGGTGGCCAGAGCAAGCGATGGTGGGGACAGTAACACACATGTCGAGGCACTCGACCCCACCGAACTATCCCAGAACCATCTCTCAATCCACCCACCCCACCTTGTCCTCCGGGTCCCATCTCCCCTCTTCGTACCGATTTTCAAACGACCACCTCTAGCAACTCCCTTCCACCCCCCTTCCACCCCCTGCTTGATCAACTTCTGAGGAACTTCTATAATAATAATAATTATTGTTGAATTCTTGCATTTATTTCCCCCGTGCTCCCTCTCCGTCCCGATCCACACATGGAACTCATGCCTGACTACCATCTGTGACGATCCTTCCAGCCTCCCATCCAGTGATTGCTTTTACCGGGTAAATCTCGTAAAACAATTCCTCAAAACTTGTGAGTCTGCTACACAGTCGAAGGGTAAGCATTGGGAACTCATTCCAACTGAAATCATTAGCCTGAAACTAAATCATCTCATGCTGGGAGTATGTTGCCACTGTTTGACCGGTGAAAGCCTTGGATACTATTAATGTATCACTTTCGTATTACTAACGTTGCACGGTGGAATCCCGAGCATTGATTGCATGGTATCTCTGGGCATCGGATGCTGTAAGCTGCATAAAGTGTTTCTTGTCGTTACCCTACCTCCTTGCAACCGCAGTGGGCTCGCCAGACCTGACGAGACGCGTTTTTCATGGAGAAGCATTGCTCAAATCAAACAAACACGACCACGTTACCAGGACTCCACCACCTTCCACCCTCCACTAAGTTTTCTGATACTGCACTTGCAGTGCCTTCCCACCCTTGTGCACCCACCCAGCTTCGTATTAAAATGGCGAATGCACTCTTGCTTGTCAACTACACACCGTTCCCAGAGTACCATTGCCCACGCAGGTTCATCGTCGACTTCGCACTTTGGCTACACTAGGCTTTGTTTGTGGGACGTCGTTGCTTCTACACAGTAGAACCATTTGGAACTCCAGTAGCCGGTTAGAAGATGGCTATGGAGAGGAACTCCAGGAAATCGGATCAGGATCGTGCCACTGTGAGTAATTTGTAGGAGAACGAGTTTCAGCCGTTCCTGTTATGGCGTGTAATTAGTCACATGGATGTTGTGGATTTTGGGAAGATTGAAGAGAGGCAGGTGCCAGTTCTGAGCCAGTCATTTCTTCTTGTTGCAACAGGGGAATTCTTGTGCCAAGCCAAGGCGGCTATCAAGGAACGCATGGTTGCCAAGAGCAAGGGTGCAGTATGGAAGCCAGTCCCAAAGAGAGGCGATGTGAGTGTGATCATCACTTTTTTGAACCTCAAAACCTTTCATCAAATTGGCGAATTTGTATACATTTCACCTGCATTGATATGTCTGTAGCGGAGTCATGCTGAATTGTGTCATTGTTGGACTTGAAAAGGTGATGAAAAGGATCCCCATCGATTTCAAATATACGATGAATGGATGAGTTCCAACGTCGGAGACTTCACGCGTTGCTCCTGATGGGAGTCATGCTCCCTGTGAGGAGGATGGCTAGACATAATTAAGGTCTTGGGGCCAGGAATCTGTTCCCTGGATTCACCTACCCCTGAAGCTTTGTGCAGTATTTCAAGTGAATCGGATGCAATGCTTTTATGTAGTGACTTCATATGGATAATTCAAGTGGCAAACTTCTCTAGAAGGACGCATCAAAATTTCCTATGCTGCACAAGATGTGTCTTGCTCAGTTGAAGGAGAATGTATGCATGTATGGCTGTGTTCAGTTCTTTTCAATTACACCCAGACATGCCCGGTTCAGTCTTGTGTCCTTGGATTGTGTTGGTGGTTCATGTCATCAACTCAGTGCGTATTGCGATACACTGCTGACGAGGACTTATCCTGGATCACTTGGTTATTACATTGCACACTCCGCCCCAGAGTACTAAATTAGGTTGCACACATGATACAACATGTTCAGTCCAAGACAAAAGACTTGGCAGTTTGGTGTTCTTAATAGTGTGACTAACCCAAAAGGAATCAAAGGGCTCCACTGGGTTGTAGGACTTCAAGGTGTAACTGTGAGGTGGTAAAAGAAATATAAATCACACAACTCTTCACGCAAGGTTAACAACAAGATTATGAGTTGTGCAGACCATGCAAAGATTTCATAAATCGTGCATCTTTCAGAACGAAAGATCAAGGTTTCAATAAAGCCATGCTGAGGATATCAAAAGGCCAGATCCGTTAAGTTCCATACAACTTGAGTTTCGAAGTTCACCACATAGCTGGTCAGAAATGTGAATCGACTGTCTTACGCCTGCAAAGGTTGGATAGCAGTTAAACTCAATCATCATCAATGTGAAGGACTGGGACGCTCGTCTGCTAACTGAATGTTTCTTCTGTTCCAATGCAAGCTTTCTCGCACGCTACGAAGAAAATCACCACTCGATTCTTTTTCACACACGGCAGGAACAGGCCATTCCGACATACGCACAATCAAGGCATCGCCTCCCCAAAGCTGTTGTCGCCCCTTACCATCGAAACTGGCCCATGCCTGACCCCTGCAGTTCAAGGGTAACTGCCCCACAAAAAAAATACAAGACCATGTTGTCCTCGTCAATACATTTATCCAACTTGTTGGTGCGATGTAAACAGTTGTCATTGGAGGAAAACGAATTAATAACCAGCCAGTATTTGGAACCTTGAGTGAGCAACCTGTACCTGAACACGCAATGTTACATAATCTGGCAAAATCAGTGGCCTGAATGACAAAGAATGTGGACAAATTGGTGTGAAAAGAATGCCTGGCACCTGCACCGAGACACACACTCATTAGAAGTCTTTCAAACCCTCGCGATGGAATACATATTCAGATTATGCTTTTCCCTTCCACATCAGGAGAAACGGGGTTCCTTAGGATTCGATCTTGAGATCATACTGCAGACGTTCAAGTATAGAAAAACCCGAATTAGTCGTTTTAGCTTTTACAAAAAAAATAAATAATAAATAAATAAATAAAGAGGTCTTATGACAGTAGTGAGCAGCATGGCACATAATAGATTCAAATTTAGGAGCGAAGCTCATAGTAAAATACCTGTGGATGGACAACTGAACCTCCGGCAGCCAAAGAATATGCTGTACTTCCTGATGGACTTGATATGATTAAACCATCACCTTGCACAATGGTAACAAAGTGCCCATCACAAAAGCACTCCAAATTTGAAAGAGCTGATGACATGCCTCTATCAATAGAAACCTCATTGAGGACAAGATATTCGGCAGATTCCGAGCTGGTGTTGTCATCTGTCTCACGATCGTGCCGGATGATCTGACAATGAAGTCGATGTCGCAAAGTGATATATGCCGGACCTTTCATTATTGCTTGTAAACTTTCTCTGTACATACTGCTTTCTGTGGAGTAAACAATTAAGGATTTCACTGCACCTAACAAATTCGGCCCTTACAGAAAATCGGAATTTTCTGTGGATTTCATAAGAACATCCATTAGAAGAAAGAATTATCACTAGCCAGGAAACAAGTATTCCTCAAGCGTTTCCTGAACAGAAAAAGAGATTTTTTTTTAATCTACAGCAAAGAGTGGATACGGAATTTCGTCATGAAGCCTAGAGAGCCCATGGAGAAGGCCACCAGTGGAGGCATAGGACCTTTGAACAGTGACGCAGCCTACAGCATCACAACCCAACGTGATTAGTACATACATCCAGCATCCTTAGACTATCCACACAGGTGTCTGTCATACACTATCAAAGGATGTGATATACTTTCCCGCCGCACTCACCAATCCTTTACACTTATCACATGGACTTCCACCACGTAAACCCAGCAGCATTTATAAGCTTCTGTAATATGGTCAGCACCTCAATTAAGTAAATGACGGATTCCAACCAAATCAAACATGTAACCATCCAGGCAAAAACAAGACCTGTAATGCACTTGAATATCCCGTCTCAATCTGACCAAGAAAGAACAAAGAAAGGATAATTTTACCCAAAGCATTGTTCCATCACCACCCAAGGTGATGACTAGATCCACGCTCTTGTTGATTGTCACCAGTTGTTTCTCTGTAGCAACAAGTTCACGTACATGATTTACACTTTAATCAGTTGGGGAAATTTTATTCTACTTATCTCGAAGGTTGAATACCTAAAGTTGCTTACATGCCATCAAGGTCTACGATTGGCCGTAGAAAGAGAGACTGTGCCAAGACGTAAAATTCTAACGTGAATTTCCTAAATGCAAAACCGGGATGACACTGTAAATGAGCCCTCTCGGGTCTAGGGTATTGAAACTATGCGTGGTTCACCCTCAAGTACTGATGAAACATGAGAATCACCGTTATTGAAACAAGCATCTTCAAACATATCCTCAAAAGAAGTACCTGTCTCACATGTCTGAATAAACTCAAAATCGGCATTCTCCTCCATCAGTTCTGCCTTCACTCTTGGCTCCACGTAGATTTTTGTAACATTTTGTTCTCTGAGCCACCTGCAGATCAAAGATGACATGCTCACTACAGAGCCACCAACATAAAAGCATTCGAAGTGCACTACTCGACTCGTTGAAGAAACCATCTGCACATGCACATTCTCTGCATGATGTCACACTGCAAATTGATGACGATCCAGATGATTCTCTGTCCTATCCCGCAGCAATGCTGCAAACACCACCAGAATTTAAATTCACTCACCACACCATCTCTTCGCAAAGCTGCTGCACGGCTGCTGCGTTCGGCTTCAAAAGGATGAACACTGATGCGGGTGAAGAATTCCAGACCAAAGCAATCTATCCACACGTTACATCAAGGCTTATGTGAGACTGAAGGATGCTGTCCAAATTATAGATCCAGCTAAATCGTAGGAAACCAGTGTTCGGTCAAACCAAGGCCAATGGCATGAGCATCATCTCGATCATATATATATATATATATGAAGAGAGAGGGAGCGAGAGAGAGCGAGAGGGAGACTTCATTGCGCCACCATCAGAAATGAAAATACCTGTTTATTGCTTCGGACTTCTGCATTGATGTCACCATCATCAAACGACACTAAATCATGGTTTTGTTCTTTTCTTCTCTCATCAACAGGATCCAATGTGAGTGTAAATGATGCCTGAACCACAAAAATAACCATCTCCGTAAGTCCTTGAAAATTAATTTAGCAAAATAGTAGAACACAAACTTCGAATTGGTAGCAACTAATGATCAGACAATATGGCACTCACATGTTGAACTGATCATAAACCAGACCCAACAAGATATTGGATTGAAGTCGATTCAGATTGTTGAGGAGCATGTCAGGCAATTCGCTCGTGTACCAAGCACTCACAATATCTCAAGACAAGTGGCAATTTCTTACTTCACCTTCTCAGAAATTTTACTGTCCAGCTGTGTATCCAAGTATAAGTTGTTGAAAAGATCAGGACTATAGCTCAACACTTTCGAGTTTTGAATGGTTTCTTTATATTGAAGATAACCGTTTGACCGAGTTTGTGTATTCTGTGGTGATGATCTAAACTCGGTAGCATCAATATCGCCCTCAGATATGACGGATGTGACTGAAAGATTATCCTGCCGTGAAGAGTCTGGAAAAACATCTTTTAAAAGTGAGCTGTGTAATCAATGCACCAATAGCCCTATCATGCGCGTGCACACACACACACACACACACACACACACACACGATAAAAATAATAAAAATAAAAAGATTTGATAGTGATAGAAGAGAACAAAGCCAAGAAGGACGCACGGTCGATCGAAACCTTGTATTGAAAACTGTAGAGCCCTACCAAATACAAAAGTGCGAAAGAAACAGTATTCAAGGCAATGAGACCGATTACCGAGAGCTCTTGATGCAATACTACGCTCGAGTTGGGAATTTCGAAGGAGCTCTAGTTCATACTTATGCTTCCATTGTGCAGCCTCATCTTGAGCTAGAGCCTTTTTCACAGCCACATCCTCCAGGGCCTTTGCAACAGCTGTTGGCATGTTGTGAAGAGTACAGTTGGAGACCATCCAATGTAAGTGCACGGAAATAGCGTGAAAAAAATTCCTTCATCAAAGTAAGTGAGCATAACAAGTGAACACCAGTTTTAAAGAGTACACAAGCATTCATGCGTGTCACCAGAGGAACATAAACGTCCGAGAAGCTCGTGACCGTAACAAGACAGACTCTCATCTCGCAGCATCTGCATAAGAGTTGCGAAAAGAGTTCATCTATAAAGAATCACAATTGAAGACGTACTCTGCAGAGCATCTGAAAATTCACTCAAATGATTCTTTTCATCTCGGTTCGTAATCATGGCACCGACACCATCAGAATCAAGCCTTTGTGATCGAATGGCCAAGTTTTCAATCTTCCCATGCTCTAGCCGATTCGGCGAGCTTGTGAGACCGATTAGAATCTGCGCCACCTCCATGTTGTTGGACGATCAAATACGGATATTTGAGTAACTTACATGTATCTGGATTATTTGAACACTCAATTACAGTTTCAGAACAAACATTCATGGAGCTCAACACATAAAATAATAAAATTAGGAGAACAAGACTCACTTTCCTCGGAAGCTTGAGGGAGTGCCGTCGTGTAAAGTGACGAGGTAATCCGACAAGGTCACGCGGAAAAGATTCACGAGCTACAGGTGTTCTCCACGCTACACATGCTCCCTGGTCCCTCCCAGCACCCAGCTCTCCTTTGGTCAGTTGGTAAAACATTCCAGTCATAATTTCGATTGTGTTGACGCCCGTTGGTTGATTAGCAAAGGGTTTAGTATCTAGGATTCACCCGTCCACTCTCCCATCAGCAGTGAATAAAGTATGCTCTGTAGGGGAATGGTGTAGGGCGTGAAACACGGCCAGTTGTGTTCGAAAACTACCGTTTTCTTTCAAGTTCAAGAGCATGGAAAGTAGAGACGCACATTCCAAGACGTGGAGGGTCGAAAGTCTGAGGAAAAAACCAAGAACCAGACTAATTCGTAGGTTTCAGCAAATAGAACAACAAGGCAGAAATCAGGACGAGTCATGAGAGAAATAACCTGCGTTAGCACATCCATCGTGTGGGCGAAAAGAAAGCCGCCTCAACAACAATAGCAATGACAAGTATCTTCAATCCCTGCGCCACGGGCTTCTCATCCTGTCTCCATTTCCATGACTGCCTCTCTACATTTAAACTTTAGCATCTACCAACACCATCCATCAGGGTCACTGATGAAGATCAGCACTAGGATGCGTACTTTATTTCCGAATTACGTGTAAGCTAATTGATAACAGCTTGAATTGAGCCCCAATCACGGCCCGTTTGCATAAAATCCACAATAAGAACTATCAAGGATGGTCTCCAGTACACACCCGAAAACTTCCACAAAACGGATTACAAAGAAACCGTACCGGAAACCTAGAGATCCCAAAGGAAAAACACTGATGGAAATGATACGATGTACTCAATCGGCAGTCCTGCACTCCATCAACCCTATTTCAAGCAGTCGATAGACAAAGCCAATGCACTCACAAGAAAGCTCACTTTGTAGAACCCACAGCGGACTCAAACGAGGACAGGACCGTGAGAAGGCAGCGGAAAGGACGCGACGAAGGGGGGAATAGGCAAATAAGTTGACGGATGAGAAGCGCTAGAACGCGAATAGTTAAGCAAGGCGAAAACAGTGTGGCTCCACCCCCAAGTTAGCAAAACTGATCGAATTTCTGTCTGCGGCACACCTGCACGAGCCCTCTCTCTCAAAGCCCTCTCCCAGTCGCACGACGACGAACGAACGAACAAACGGACGGACGGAAGTATGGACAGACGCATTCATTGTCCCGTATCAGACGAACGAACGATTGAATAAATGAACGAACGAACAAATCGATTGTTCCCGAAAGGACGCAACTCGAGCAGCAGGTGAGGCTGCACAGCTGTGGGTAATGGACGACGGGCTGCTGCCCAGAATAAAAAAAAAGGTACTAAAGGTCTCGCATAACTCCTCCTCCTTCGCCTTCCCTCCCTAACCCCATCCCAGCATGCCAAGTGGCATTCAGATGCAACCTTCTTCTGGATGTCGTTCTAAAGAATCTTTCGTTGAATTTTTTCATCACACACACATATATATACCTCGAGTAATAAACATCTACTTATTCATTTTTCTCTTACTGCAACTTTTGTAACTTTTATCACAATACAATAAAAGTGATATATACATGTATTGTTTTGGAATAGAAAATAAATAATTTCATATTGAAATTTCAAATTTTCAGAAACTTATTATTTTATTATCACAGTATGATTATTATAAAATGGTAAAATAATAATAATATTTTAAAAAAATTCTAAATATTATTTATGTATCCATTTAAAACATCCTTCTATTATATATTTCAAAATTTGAAGTTTTGTGGTGAGTTTGATATATAACTTATTTTAAAAATTTGCATATTTTATGTTTATTTTTAACATCTTTTTTGAAATATGTGTGTGCTATAATTTAGTCATTCACTTCTTATTTTATTTTTATAATTTTTTTCTTTTCATTTTTATTTAATAATTTTAGATAAGTATAAATCATGTTATTTTTTCTCATTTTTCATACAAAACATAATCTTTAATATATAGTGTGAGTGTAAAATTCACTCCTTAATCCAATTACAAAGTGGCCTCAATTAAGAGTTGCTTGTAATTGGTGGTGTGAAGTAGAAGAAGCAAGAACTAAAACAAAAGAAGCAAAACACAAAAACAAGTAAAACAAGTGTAATCAAGCAATTGTATACCACAAAAGTAGTCACAGTCTGTTTATTGAATTTTCACCAAATAAAAAGTAAAAAATAAAAGTAAAAAATATATTTTTTGAAAGGTAATTTTTTAATCTTTTCAATGGTATAAGAAACATGTAAATCCGAGTTACTATTTTTTAAACCTTCATAACTCGGATCTAAATAAATTCTAAATAAAATCTAAATAAATTCTAAATAAATTCTAAAAATTATTATAATGGTTTTATAATATTAATATTGATTTAAATCTATAATTTTCTATCTTGATGATTTTTATAATAATAAAATCAATTTAAATCTATTATAAATCATATTTTTTTATATAATTAACTAAAAAGACATGAGGTTCTTTCTCATGCTTCTTCTAACTACTAATTAAAATTTATAGTTTCTTTTATAAGTAATATGTATAGATAGAAGGCTAATATAAATATTGACTTTAGTAAATATCCCTCAATACTCAATACTAAGTAAATAATACTAAATCAACTAAGTTAATTGCCTCCAAGACTCACTAAAACTCGAATTCTACAACTAACACTCTAATTTTCTATTTGTCTAAATATTTCTATACTATTCACCATATATTGTGGTTCTAAGCACTATAAATGCATCTTTTTATTCTAAAATAATTAGTGAATCGATTTGATGACTCATATGTAGAAATACATATATATATATATATATATATATATATATATGGATAGATAGATAGATAGATAGATAGATAGATGTTTCTGTAAAGTTAAAGATTATTATGAATAGTCTTTTTTTGTTGATATTATAGTAAATAAAATTTTGTAATTATATTTTCTTACAAATATAATTAGATTTCTTATTATTTTCCATATTCTCTAATAGTCTATTTTCTATCATTTATGATTTTTTTAGTTTTATTACGATTATTTTTTATATTTTAAATATTATATTAATTATTTTTATGGTTATGAAAATGAATCTTTATCTTTTATTTTGAAAATTACTTTTAAATTTTTTTACTACTTAAAATATAATATTTATTACCTTTTTGTTTATTTATTTGGATTTTATATTTTTGCATTACCTTTCTAAAAAAATAAATGTATTATTTTTTTTACTTATTTATTTATTTTTAAGATATCTTATTTTTAAAACATTTGCATAATTATATTTGGTTTAAAAGTTATACTTTTGAAAAGTATAAATGAAGATGAAAGAATCATAATTGATCAAAATTATTCTTTTGGTCTTATAAATTATAAAGACTTTATCTTTCATTAAAAAGAAAAGACATGATAAAAAATATTTAATTTTTTTAATATATATTTTTGGAATATTTATACTAAATTTTATTTTGTATCATAGATTTTAAAATATTTTAGGTGAATTAAAGATTTGCAATACATATCCTATCAAAAATTGTATCTAAAGGAAATTAAATATAAATTATAATAAAATAAAATAATAATTTTGATTTGAACATAATATATTTATATATTTATATATTTTTTTTATAGTTTTTGTAGTTTTTTAACCTATTATCTTATTATACTTTATATGTAGAGATATTTAAAAATTATTTATTTATTTATTTATTTATATTGAGATATTATTTTCTACAAGTATTTAAGATTATTAAAAAGATACTAATTATGAAAAATTCAAAATATGGATGTTTATCTAGATTTTTAATTTATCAATTAAAACTAAAATTTTACACTATAAAAATTAATTTTTGGTTGATGTAACAATATAAGAATAAATGATATGATTGCATGTGTATTTAATGATATTATTTCTATTAGAAAAAAAATCTTATATATACTATTAAAGTCTTTAAAATAATAATATATCTTTTAAAAAATAGACTCGTGAATTGATTAATATAGATACAGATATTTATATTAATAATTACATAAATTAGAAGACATAAGTAGAAGAAATAAAAATAGATAATTTCAATAATATCTTATAAAGAAGCATTGTGGACATGGATTTGACTTTCGAAGAGTTTGTAGATGTTTGACAGATTGAAAACTTGGCCAACAAGATAGTCATGTGTTGCACATGTTGACTACTTATTATACAAATTGGTCACTTATTGTATAAGTTGGCTATGTGGTACACATATTATAAACTTGTCTTATAAGTTGAACTTATGTTCCACAAGTCAAACATGTATTAGATGATCTGTAGAATATTGCTACAAAGCTCTTTAATTGTTTTTATTTTTATTTTTTGAAATAAAAAAAACCTCATTGCTATAGGAATAAAAATTACAATTAAATCAGATGCATATAGCTTGGATAAGAATGATTAACATAATAGACACTATTGAATAAATTTAAGCTACTATTATACAATCAAACAACATTGACCTAAAGAGGGCCAAAGTCATCTAATTAGTCGTAGTTGAGAATCACTGGCCCTACTTAGTTGCTCAATTATGGGGCTTGAAAAACAAACCTTGCCATCAATTCCAACAATACCTATTGGAAGTTACCATCTAACATAGAGGCAAAATTTTCTTAGAATCACTATTGTTTTTCAAACCAACATATAAATTTTATATTAACTGCTACTTAAAATTTTTGGTGTTTGTAAACTATTGACCATTTGACATGACCATAGTCAAGGATCTTGAGTCACATAGTCTGTGATAGTTTAGTCAAGTACCACCAAATGTTGTTAAAAATTATATCATTTTACTCTTTCTACAACATCTATAAAATTAATATTTTGAATTGTAACCAAAAAAGAGTGAACTAGTCAAAATTATGAAAAATTCTCTTTAAGAATAGCCCCTACTATCAAAAAAATGATTGCCATGGTTAGTATGCATCTATACTATATGTTAATGAATTGAGAATACAAACCTCTATTTCTAAGCTTATTAGGCAAGTATGCATTTTCAAAAGCAATGTAGAATTAATTCTTGAAAATAATATGAATAGATAAGTCATCAAAGAAATAGTGAATGGTCAATTCTACCTCTCGAAGCATTAATCATGTAGCATGGTATCAAAACAACTATAGAAGTTCTAATTCTTTGCTAGCATATTGTTTTATGTAGACCATTTTCATTGTAGCCTATATATTTTTGAAAGGATATCAAAATAGGATTGAACTTTTTCTAAGATCTAAAATCCTTCTAATCCATAGTAACATAAATTCCATCACAAAAAAAGACAAAGAAAATTAGTACAAAACTAAACAAAACCAAATAGAATATAACATGAAAGGCAAAATAAAATAAAAGTAAATAGAATAGAATAGAACAAAAAAATACAAATCAAACTTTACTAAGAAAAAGGGACCAAAGCCATACTTGACTAATTACAAAAATGGCCTTACTTAATTCTATTTATACTTTATTCAATCATTTTAGAATTTTTTAGAATATTCTTAATAGTAGATCTTACCATGATAATATCTTGTTCTAGAAGGTTCTAAAAGTGGATCCTATCTAATTAATTGCCTTTCTAAAAGATTTTAAAGATAAGTTCTATTTAGATAATCATCCTAAGTTCTTTCTAGAATGTTTTATAGTAGATCCTTCATGGACCACCAACCTAGCTTCAATTCTAGAAACTTCTAAAACCTTCCCAAAAACAACTCCAATTACCTATATCTATACATCAATAATACAAATATCTGATTCATGCACTGTTATAGATGCTAAATTATTTCTTCACAATAAAATTAAAGATGACATATTTATCTTGTAATAATTTTTAGTTAAACTTTACAAAATACTCCATAAATAAGATAATACCTTTTAAATATAGCCATTGAAGCTTGAAGGATTCCAAATAAAGTTGGCAACTTTCCTATAGAAAAAAAGTATGGACTTCTCTTTTAGTTCTCTATAGACTTGTAACACTTGGACCTAATAGTGAATACCTTCAAACATATTATTAGTATTTGACATTTCTTTTCACATCCATTATGAGGATGGAAGTACTAAA